TTGTCAAAGAAGCTAAAACAAGGGATTACCCAGGGAGTTTTCCAAAAGAGTCCCGACGATGGAGAAAAAGGCTGGTGACAATGCCAAGATGATCACCAACTCTCACCCTTACACACATTTTTGAGCCTAACGATCCTTTCGTTTCTCAACCTGTGAACCGAGCCCACGTTACGTCCCTCAGGAAATCTCTTCTGACTAGGACACTTGAATTAACGTGGAATTTCAAATGTTTATAAACAACGCTCGAGGAAGTGCGAGCAAGATTATTTCTATCTCGTTTTGCAGGGTTCTTGACTTGTAAACCCGGAGATGATTGCAGAATATTTTCTTTCATGGCATTGACTTGAACAGTCACCTTCATTAAGCCATTGACCAAGCCTGCATTACGACCCTGAAGAAGACCTCTCAGATTGGCAGCGTCGTACCCGCTTGCGAGAAAACTCAGACCCTTGCGGATCTGATAACGGTCAGATTGAGTGTTTTCGATGTTCCCGCATTAATGGACGGGACAAATAACCCTTTTCAACGAGAGCGAGTGGAAACTGAGAATCCCTCGTTCAGCATCTTGAGAAGTCCACCTCCCGAGTGAATATTGTCTTGATTGACCCTCAGTGGATGTTTGGTGATGCAAACATGGCGAAATCATCATGTATGAACTTTCAAATACACGTGCGGGATAGCCTAGCTTGTCTATCCTTGATGAATGCATGCATGTTTGTGCTAACCCTCTTTGATGACTCAAAGTTCTAATCCTCGGTGATAGAACACGAAAATTCGGGCACTGGAGAAGCCCCGATTATCATCACAAAAGAGATGCCCCGAAAAGGTCGGGTATTCAAGCGATGATACATCAAACCTCCGGATAAGAAATCCCAGGTATTTCATCAGATTTCTTTTCAAACTACCCAGAAGGTAAACAGGGTGTTTCTTTGAAAAAGAAAAGCATCTTGACCAGCTGGTCAAGATATTTCATACGATATTCAAGAATAGCCTCAGTTGTCTATTTCTCCGATGAATACGTATGTCTTTGCACAAAAAAATTTTTCTGACAGGAGACACGCCCTTAAGAGGCAGGAACGTGCCCAGGTAAGTACATTTTACCCATGCCTGATTCCAAAAATCCATGTACCTACGATTGTTATGGTACCCTTTGAACATCGGAGTGACCCCGTTGTTCACCAACTGAACATTGGATTGACCCCTTTGTTCACCCTCCTGAGCATAGGAATAACTCCCTCTGTTCCCATCAAGTCTTTTCAGGTACCCCTTATGATGCAGGTACTTTGGTAAAGCAAAATCCAGTCAGTCAAGGCGACTGAAGAAAGGTTCGGGTCCTAGACAGACAAAATCCAGTCAGTCAAGGCGACCAAAGAAAGGTTCGGGTCCTAGACAGGAAAATCCAGATCGACCAAGGCGGCCAGAAGAAAGGTTCGGGTCCCGGACGAGACAAAATGAAATCCGATCAAGGCGACCGAAGAAAGGTTCGGGTCCTAGGTAAGCGATTTCCCCAGTCGAGGCAACCGAAGGTAGATTCGGGTCCGAGACAAATGAAATCCAGTCAAGGCGACCGAAGATAGGTTCGAGTCCTAGACAAGCGATTTCCCCCAGTCAAGGCGACCGAAGAAAGGTTCGGGTTCTAGACAAAAGCAATTCTCGTCAAGGCGACCGAAGACAGGTTCGGGTCCTAGACAAACCATTTTTTTCGTCAAGGCGACCGAAGACAGGTTCGGGTCCTCGACACACAATATCAACTATCTGGAATTACTCTACCCTTCGGCAAGGTAAGTAGCCCCGGTATGTTTTTACTTGCTTTAGCATGCATCATCTTATATCGCATCATAAAAATGGGACTCAGGTCTCGCCAAAAATAACATTCATTGAACATGCATGGGCCAAATTTAGGTGTCATTTTATCTTTGAACGTAACCTCTCGCGAGCTCAATCTCTGCGAGCTCACCTTCAAAGAGAGGGCAATTGTTGACACCTATTTTTAATTTGCCCAAAATTAATTGCACAAAATTTAGGAATTAATTTTCTTTAATTCCTAAAACAAAAAAAATATTTCTATTTAAATGCATTGCATATAGACATTAGGCATATGTGCATTAATAGGGCCTATTAGAGCATATTTTCTTAAATTTTAAACAAAAATTAAAAAAAAAAAAAAAAAAAAAAAAAATTTGGTAGAGATTGAAGGTGGGCCGACCCTACCTTTCTTTTTCCTTTTCTTCCCCCTCTCCCGGGCCCCAGGCCCATTCTTTTTTCTTTCTTTTTCTCCCCGCACCTACTGGGCCGGCCCGCCCCGGCCATTTCTTCTTCTTCCCCCTCACGGCCGCTCTCTCGCCCCTCGTTCTTCCTCGTTCGCGACGTCACGCCGACGCACGGCGGCGCGCGCTCCTCGCCGTCGCTATCTCGGCGAGAGGAAGGCCGAGAGAGCACGCCACGGACCGGCATTAATTGCCGGTCCCGTCCTCCCCGTTGTCCCGGCTTCCCTTATCTCCTCCTCCATCTCGCCTCCCCTGTTCGTCCGCTCTGCGCCTCACCGAGGCCGATCCACTCCGCACCGGCCTAAATGGCCGCGAAAGTCGCGTGCCGAGTAGGCCGGTGCTGTGCATCGTCGTCATTACAGGGCGTACGTAACGGAGCGAGAGGGGCACCGTCGTCCGGCTATAAATAGCCAAAGGGAGAGAGAGAGCCCCGGTCGGCAAAATTGAGAGAGAAACAGAGAGAGAAAAATTGAGAGAGAAAGAGAGAAAATTGAGAGAGAAAGAAGGGAAAGTCGGTTTTTGCGGGTTCCCACCGCGTCGCCGTCGCCCCGATCAACCGGAAAGCCCTGGACGCGCTGTCGACGGTGAGCTCTCGGTCCGGCCCGAACCGCCTCTGTTTTGCTCATTTTTTGCTCGGTATGGCCGGGACTCGCCGCCGTTTCGCGCGAATCCCGCCCATACCGTCATCCCCCGTCCGTGTATCCTCACCGAAGGTAGGTTGATTCCTTTGAATCCTCCGGTTCGCGGAACAGTCGAGATTTGTTGTTTTTGGAAGCGCACACCATCCGTTCGACAAAAGTCCTCAATGAAACCGGTTTTGTTTTGGTCGCCGTGGCGAACCATGATCGGACGGTGACCGGTGGGTGGAGAGGCTTGGTTTTACTCCCGGGAGGCCGATTTGGGGGCGGCGCCGTGCAGGTCGGCCCAGGTGAGAGGCCGTTTTTGGCTTCGACAGGGGCGGGCTCCCACCGGTTCGGCCCGACCGGTTCAGTTGACCCGACCCTGGCCAACGCCCGGTCTGGATCTGGTGACTTCGGGTCGGTCCAGTAGGCCTGACGGTTGCAATTGATCCGACCCGGTCAACGACCGGTCGGATCAGATTGACCCGGTCGGTCCAAATGACCGGTTCGGCCGATCCGACTGGGTCAACGACGGCAGTCGGATCCGTTGGACTGGTCGGTCCAAATTGACCGGTTCTGCCACTGATCCGACCAGTCAACGACGAAGGTCGGATCCGCTGACCCGGTCAACGATCGGGTCAGATCAGATTGACCCGGTCGGTTCAGCCCGGTCCGGATCCCTTTTTTTTATTTTTATTTTATTTTATTTTACTGCTTTTTTTTTTTAAAAAAAAATTTTAAAAAAAATTTCAAAAAATTTTTTTTTTCTTTTCTTTTCTTTCTTTTTCTTTCTTCTTTTTTATTTGTTTTTTTTTATTTAAAAAATATTTCGTATTTTATTATTTTTTTTATTTCTTTTTTATTTTTTTTTTATTTTTATTTTTATTTTTTTTAAAAAAAAAAAAAAAAATTTTTTTATGTGATATATTGTTGTTGTTTTAATCTAATGTGATATTATTTTGTAAGTTTTTGTCTTATTTAAATTAGACAAGCCTGAGGTTGCGCGGTAGTATTTGCATGTTAGTTTTTATTACCGTTGTATTGTTATGCATGTTTTTAATACAATTGCATGAATGTTGTGTTTTTGAATGTCATCCGACTTAGTTAGGGTTAGAACCTTAGGCCGCATGAATTCTTTGTGTTCCGCTCGCGATCGTTCCCGATTATGCACTCGCTTGATCACCTCACATATTAGGAGAAAGGTCCTAAAATCAATCCAAATTGCCTGACAAATTTTTTCAGAAATGAATAGGGTAAAATGGTACCGAAAGGGCATTAGTTATCCAACTAGTGTAACCAAGTCCCCGAATTTAGTTAATCACTGGTTCGTAGGAATAGGGTGATTCTCCCATCACCCTATTTGGGTTTCTAATCGGCCCACCCCAAATCGATTAGTGGCGACTCCTTGATATAAACCACTTGCATGTTAAACACTTAAACCCTAAGTCGCGATATGGTATGGGCTTGGGAGAGCCCGAGTTAAGTCCCGAACCTAGACTTAGCACGTACCAGGCGAGCCCCCCCTTTTTTGCATGTCGTTTAAAAAAGGGCTCGGGAGTTCGGTCGCGACATCCTTCATGCCTATCAAACAACAAAACTCAATGATAACTTCGTGAATATACTTAATCTCATCAAAAGACTAGTATATAATGAAAGATGCATTGGGCCAATTAACTTACAAGCCGGGAAGATGGTGTAGCGGTCATTTCATTTTTTTTTCCCAATCCTTTTATGCCAATAGATGGATCTTGTTGAAATAAAATAAGGTGGTGCACCTGGCTCATCAAGAGTCTTTCGTTATAAGGATTAAGGTTGCCGCCAGTAGAAAGATAGGAGGTCAAATTTTTTTTTGGGGGGCTGTGTTGGTTTAAAAATTTTAGAAAGAGAGGAGGTTACCCCAAGATCACCTACCAATGGGGGTTACTGGCATTGGAAATCAAACCTAAACATAGTAAATGTGAAGTGTCCAATTCTTATCAGCTGAGCCAACCCGTTGGCATGAGGAAGTCTATTTTATCTGGTAGTGATCAAGTTTTGGAAGACCGAGCATTGGAGTCCTTTCTAGGCATGTTATTTAGTGATTGATACTATTGGCTGGAGGGGTTGTTGTTTCTTTCTTTTTTTTGCTTTGGAATGGATACAAATGTAAAATTCTTGGGCGCTACGGGATCTTTGGTTTAAGTTGTCGTTGGTTTAGTTTTCAGGACATCTTGGGAAGTACTAGTGTTTGTTAGTCTTCGAGGCATTATTGGGACATTTTGGGGATCCTTTCTGAGCTTGCAGTGAAAGTAATACATCTGCATTTCATCGGTTATGCATGAAGAAGAAAACTTACTTATCAAAAAAAGAAAAAGGTTTTGTGAAGTACCCGTTAGCAGCTTTCTCAGATTCCCATCCATGTAAGTCACTCACTTCTCTAAGTGCTCGCTGCCCTTCCTGAATATCCTTCTCATCAAAACGCTTCTTACGCGAATGGAAGGCCTTCCCAAACCTTCCTTTTAGATACCGCACATCCGATGGGTCCACTTTGTAAAAGATGGGCAAGACTATGCGTGACGTGCTCTTCTTGCAGTCCATGATATGAATGAGCTCGCGGAGGCACCATTTGCTCGAAGCATAATTTTCCGAGATGATGGGGATCAAAATCTTAGACCGTGCGATGGCATTGAGAATCCGTGAACCAAATTCCTCGCCAATTGGAATGCTGTTATCGTCCCTGAACACGCAAATCGGTACAGTCCCTGCCTTGATCAGACTATGATAGAGGTGATCGGTGAATGCCTTGCGGGTATCGGTGCCTCTAAAGCTTAAGAACACGTCATATTGACTGCAACCTACATCTGTGGGTACTGGAGAGATGAACGAAGGAATGGATGCTCCCTCAGTGCTCTCTTCCTCTGCTCTCTTTCTATTTCCCTGACTCTGCCCATTACCCATGGCGATCTGAGGGGGAAAGTTGAAACGAAAAGATGCTTTTCTGCTGCTCAAAAGGATTGATGAACAACGAAAGAAGCTTTTAGGATGCTTTTCTGCAAATGCTTGTAGTCCTTGCCTTATCTTCTTTTGGACCTCATCCTCTAGTCAAGTCAAACTTGTTGGCTTGGTCCACTCGAGAATAACGTGTACGTTAAGTTCTGCCTTTGGAAATGCTGAAGAAGGTTCGTGCTCCTCGAGAGGCTTGACCGTGGAAGATTAGGTGATGGCCCCTAAAGAGAGGTCCCCAAAAAGGTCAACTACCTCTTTCTCTCTAGGCGTGTTCGCTAATTCGTGGTCTCTGGATGACTGTTAGCTCTACCCTAAGAAGTAAGACTGGTAACAATCCATGTCTCTTCCGTGGCACCCATTGCTGATGCTTTTCTGTATTTACAAAAAATTTCATATTCACTAATAAATGTTGGCCCCACCAAAATTTTCTAGTTACAATCCAAAGTTTAAAGAATTATTGTTAGAAACTTTTGGCAGAATAGTCTTCCAAATTTAAGAGCTCTATTTTTCTACATTCATGCTTCCAGTTGTGTATGATAATAATGAGCAATTATTTCCAAACTTGAGAAGTAATGCTTTGGTACAGATGGTTGAGAAATAATTCTTTGTTATAGATGGAATGATTGAACTTTACTATATAGGTCCATCTCTATTTTGGTAATATGAGCTATCCATTGAAAAAACACGCACTATTGATATTTTACGAGAGATTCTTTAGGAAAGAATTCGAATGAGTTAGTAATCTAAAAAGCCGACATCTAGTAATGTAGGGGAGAAAAATTCAATGTCATGAGTCTATTTAAAAGTTAAATATCATTTGCTATTTATTTTGTGAAATACATTATCTTACTAAAATGAGAGAAAAAAAAAACAAAATTTTCTAACATGATATATGTTAGTGATTAAAAAGAATCAACTTTGATTTTCTTTACAGCATGTACCCATCAGTATCATTGTTTTGCTAGTTTATACAAGAAAATGGGTAGTCTTTCGGCCCATCACACTATCACGAAGATGGATAATGTCATTCCTGATTGCAAGATTCAAGAGGGCAAACTTACGCTTATTGGTATCAAGGCTGTTGTTTTAGATAAGTTTGAACCTTTTCATGGAATACTTGCAAATGGACTTTGGCAGATGCAAAAATAGTTTATGAAGGACGGATGCTTCTATCAAACGGATAAAGTAACAAGATTAAAAAATAGACAAATACGCGAATAGGTTCAGTTTATATTAAACTTACATTCACTCTTATGTACTAACTACCACCAACAAAGCTTTAAATAGAGAGAATCAAGTGCAAGTAGAAACATATTGTGAACACAAGAGAGATCAAGATAATCTAAAGAGTTGAAGCTTTTTCAATTTCCACTAGGTCCATCAGCATTAGGTGAATCCTTTTAGGCTACGTTTGGTAGTCGGGATAAAATTTGGTGTAGCATAAATTATATCCTATCCCATGTTTGGTGTCTGCCCAAGATAAGACAAAGTCGGATATAAGAGGGATATAACCCGGATAAAATTATCCCATGGGGGAGGTGGGATAAAGGTAGATATGATTTCTAATATTCATAATATAAAAGTTAATTTTGTTGAATAAAAAACTTGTTAAATTAATAAATTTAAAATAATATTTGAATATAAATAATATATGAATTTTAATATAAAAAATTCAAAATAACAATAATTTCGTTTTTTATTTATTCTTATTTTATTTATATATTCAAATTTTATTTATATCTTAAGATATAAATTTCATATATAAATCAATACTAATGTATTTATATTTATTATATATTTTAGGTATATTAGTATAGCTTACTATTTAATAAAATTTTATTAGAGAATGATGGAAGGGGAAAAAAGAAATAAAAAAATAATTAAAAAAGAGAGGCAAAAATAATAAAAAAAAATAAGCAAATAAAAATGAAATAGGTAAGAGTGTCGTGAGAGAGATTTTTATAATCTTCGTTTATTCAATTCTTGGGTTCATTTACATTAATATGACAGTCATAGCAAATAATCAACATAGTAAGATATGAAAATATTCGGCTTTATTTCCATAATTCACCAAACAGTAGATATGATACAGCAAATCCCTTGAATTTCAAATCCTATCCTATCCAATCCTATCCTGACTAGAAATCCAAATGACCAAATGCAACCTTAGGTATCTCACACATGATAGGTCCACTTTGTAAAAAATAGGCAAAATTAAATGTCTTGTGCTTTTTTTGGGATCCACGAGTTGAATGAGCTTGAGAATGCATCATTTGCTAGAAGCATAATTTTCAAATATTATAGGCATCCAAACTTTAGACCATGTGATCGCATCAAGGAGCCATGAACCGACCCCTTGTCGATAGGGAGGCTATTATCATCCCTGAACACAAGCATAGGTACGGTTCTGACATTCATGAAATTGTGGTAGAGGTGATCGGTGAAGCCCTTGCGAGTACCTGAGACTCTAAAGCTCAAAAATTACATCATAGGGATCACTTTCCCACTCATGTTGGTGTTGGAGAGAGATGAACGGATATGTAGATGCTCCGTCAGTGCCTTCATTTTCTGCATTTGTATTGCTTCCACTCGTTTTGCTCTTCTTGAGAAGATTAGAAGTGAACACAGAAAGAAGTAGCGCAACAAGCACCACAAGAGAACACCCTAAAATGAACTAATGCATTCCTCTGTTTGCTTTGCTCTAGCTCTTCCCTTTATTTGAAATGCTCAGGCTCAACTCGACTCAATCCCCATATGGCTAGAATCAAGCTAAACCTCAAGAGGAACATATTTCTTAAGAAACGATACCCTAAAACACAAGTGGCCCCCCATAACAAAATCCTCCATATTCTCGCAACTCAGAACCATCTACAGATCGGCAAGAATCAGTCGAACAATCGACAACAACAAGATGAGAAGGGAAAATGGGATTGGATCCTGTCTAATTAATGGTGATTCTTATTTGGTATTCTTAAATTTCCTACTAATTTTCCACACGGTGATTTACCGCATGTGTATCAATTTCACGACTTTTCTTCACAAAAAGTAATTTTTCTTTTGTCATTGTAAGTTGTGTAGGTCATATGATTTGCAATATTCCCCAAAATATAGTAATCTGCCAAAGTTTTGGGTAAAATATATTTTCCTATGGTTAGTAAATTACTGGATATTTTCCTTTGGCAACTAAATTGTCCTTGTTCATAGTACGTAATTTTACCTGTAAAACATCCTTTCACAGGTTATCTTTGGAGGGTGCACTTTTTCTTTGGAGGTCATAAATTCCCTGAAACCTATGTTTGGTAAAATTCCACAAAAGTAATATCTATTTTGTTAATAGCAAATTTCTTTTGTGAACTTTTAGTAAAATATCTAAATTGATAGTTACTCTCCTTTGCACGGGTAAAGTTTCAAGACCTATGCCTCAATAATTTTCCTTACTCATCGTAACATTTCTTAATTAAAGTAATTTGATCACATTTGCGTATGTAACTTTCCTTTTAATGTCCGGAAGTGATGACGAAAAATCAATTTTGCAAAACAGATTTGACGGATCACTTTTTTTCCCATTTTATCCAACAACCCACCACGTTGAATGCATGACTGATCCTATAATAAAAGTTACGAAATTTTTTTACCATCGAGAGGTTTTAGCCATAACAAAGTAGTTTTTTTATTTTTTTGCCAAAGAGTAAAGCAGTGTTGGAAACACTATTTTCCTAAATTTTTTTGAAAATCATTCCATTGCAATATTGATATTAATATATATGTAAAGGTAAAAATAACGTAAACGTGAAATGAAAACCAGAGAAGAATAACGCAAAAAGAAAAGGCTCCCACCGAACAGACCCGACCCAAGGGTGTCAAACGAAACCAGAAAAACTTATGAGGGGGGCAAAAATAGAACTTCCAACAAACTTCAGGGTGCGAAAACGGAATTGTCGAAATTTTTTTGAAAAAACATGGCACCAATCTCTCCCCTCCCGTTCTCCAGCATATATATAAATACAAAAGGGGAAAACAAACATCCAATCGTGCCATCGCCGGGAAGGTTTTCGAACGAGACCACTTCGAGCGCGCGCTCTCCAGAGAGACTAGCGATCGATTCCATTCCATTCCGGCTCATGCATCGTCGATCGATCGATCGAATCGCGTCGAGCACACGTTGAGATTCGATTCCGTGGAGGATTGGGGGGTTGGAGGAGGTAGAGAAAGCTCGGTTGCTGAGCTTGGCTCTCGAGTTTCGCTTCGACCAGCAGTCCGCCACCAAGTGCTTGGACCGTCTTGTTTCCCTCTACGGCAACTCAAATCCTCACTTCGTCGCCCATTTTTTTTATGCCGAGATTAGCGTTTGCAGATGTTGTGTAGGTATTTCTTCGTCCACCACGATGACGATGGCTGTAGAATAGGGTGCTAGTATTGCTGACGAGCAAAATGTCTGGCACGGTTCCTGTTTGAAATGTTGAGGCTACTTTGGATGGTGGGCTTTTCTTGGTTATTGGCCAAATTGGGTGGTATCTGGTGATTAGGGAATGCAGCAATTGCTTGTGTCGTGTGGATAATTTGTGTATTGATTGATTGTGCGTTCCTAAATAAGGAGATTTATTGCGGTTGGTCAGTGCTCTGATGATGGCTGCGAAATGGTCTACTTTGGATTTCAATGGACAGGAGCTGGTTAAGTTTTGTCCATTGAGCGTTATTCTCACTGTCATTTCTTTGTGGGTTTGGCGGAGTAGTGTTATTGACTTGCAAAATCATCTCTTTCTTCGTTTTGGGTTTTTTTAAGGCAACGAAGATCGAGAGTTTATCACCATGGAACACTGTGGCGATGACTTTCTAGCGGAACTTGCCGAAACGATGCAAGATACTGAGGATTGGGATGATTTGCAAGCTGCGAAATCAGAAGCTTGTGGAGTTTTGGCCGATATGTTTGGCCAACATATCCCTTATGACGAAGGATGCAATGTTGTGCACAATGTTACTATTATAGAAGATTCTCCACAACCTGAGAAAAATCAAACTTTTCTTGAGGTAGATTCCTCTACTAACAGTGAAGACGAATATGATAAATTTGACAGTAAAATGGGCAGGAAATCCACAGGCTATATTCCTGATGAAAGCAGTACTCCGAGGAATTCATCCACTCAACTTCTGGCCAGACGATCTTTAGCATCCATGGTATGCTTTTGAAAACTGTGAAGTTGTCTCACTCCTTTCTGCCCCCGCCAGTTTGAAGGGATTAAGAAAAAGAAAGAAAAGCAGGGTAGCTTGGCATGCTTTTTGCCATGCCCAAAACTAATTTGGTTGATAGTTGTTAAGTTTGTGGCTCGAGTTTATGATTCATGGACCTAGATTTGGCTTGGGATTGGCC